ATTTCCCACAGTATCCATAGTGGACATCTGTTTCATAATTCATCCCTCTTGTACTAAAAGCACCCACATTTTCCTCTTGGAAACCATACATCTCCCACTCCCGGTCCCTGAAGTTGAATTGTCCCAACTCCATCCTCAGCCCCAAGGATGGACATGAAAATATGCCTGGCTAATCTGAGCATGTCTTTCTCCTGGCACCAGATATTGGATCAGGGAATGGGCACATAACCAATCAGACACAGTCCTGGGATTTTGACCCACCATAGAAAGGCATTTTTTCTTTTTGGCTGAAATCGGAACCATGAAGCCCACTGGATGGCCATCTGGCCAGCCTCGGGTAAAGCCTGCCTGAGAATGGGGCCACGACAGCAGAGAGCAGATGCAGGAGATGGAGGAGCTCTGAATCGTTGCCGGAGTCCCTGGACTGAGCAAGGCCCACAGCTGGTGCTCCTCCTGGCATTCCAGTTACATGAGTCAGTAAATTCCTATTTGTGCCATGACAATGCACGTTGGGTCTTCTGTCCTCTGCATCTGGGAGAATCTTGATGACATAGTTCATCACCACCTCTACCTCCTTCTCTTAAGTTGGACTTGCCACTGATTCTGGGTTCTGTAAGCATCTTCCCCATGCCACCCAAGCTAACAGAAGGTATGCTAATTAGGTCACTACTCTTGGTGTCTTGGAAGTGATAGATGCTGCCTGGGGTCAATTATCCAGGACCCTGTCATTAATAGGAGAAGCAAGTGGGGTTTTTCCATAGCATTTGTAAATATGTCTTTGACCCCTCACTCCACAAATGGGGTGGCACATACACACTACTTTCTAAAATTAAAATAACAGGTGCCCTAACCTGTTTGGCTCAGTGGATAGAGCCTGTGGACTGAAAGGTCCCAGGTTTGATTCCAGTCAAGGGCATGTACCTTAGTTGCGGGCACATCCCCATTAGGGAGTGTGCAGGAGGCAGCTGATTGATGTTTCTCTTTCATCAATGTTTCTAACTCTCTATCCCTCTCCCTTCTTCTCTGTAGAAAATCAATAAAATATATTTTAAAAAATAAAATAAAATAACAGGTTTATTTGGTTTGTATTTTGTTGATTCTTTTACATTTGTTTCTCACTGGAGCTGAAGGGCACTGCACGAGAAGCTGGGATCCTGTGAGAGCAGGTGGTAACAGGGGGCAGGGCAGTTTGGGTTATTGTGATGAGACCCACTCTGCCCTGGAGTGCACATGTACTGGAGGAAGCAGAAATTCAGAAGTGAGGTGATTTCCCACAGTATCCATAGTGGACATCTGTTTCATAATTCATCCCTCTTGTACTAAAAGCACCCACATTTTCCTCTTGGAAACCATACATCTCCCACTCCCGGTCCCTGAAGTTGAATTGTCCCAACTCCATCCTCAGCCCCAAGGATGGACATGAAAATATGCCTGGCTAATCTGAGCATGTCTTTCTCCTGGCACCAGATATTGGATCAGGGAATGGGCACATAACCAATCAGACACAGTCCTGGGATTTTGACCCACCATAGAAAGGCATTTTTTCTTTTTGGCTGAAATCGGAACCATGAAGCCCACTGGATGGCCATCTGGCCAGCCTCGGGTAAAGCCTGCCTGAGAATGGGGCCACGACAGCAGAGAGCAGATGCAGGAGATGGAGGAGCTCTGAATCGTTGCCGGAGTCCCTGGACTGAGCAAGGCCCACAGCTGGTGCTCCTCCTGGCATTCCAGTTACATGAGTCAGTAAATTCCTATTTGTGCCATGACAATGCACGTTGGGTCTTCTGTCCTCTGCATCTGGGAGAATCTTCTCGCCACTGATTCTGGGTTCTCTGAGCATCTTCTCCATAGCAACCCTAGTAGCCCTGCCACCCAAGCTAACAGAAGATGTGCTAATTAGGTCACTACTCTTGGGTTCTCCACCGGCCAGTAGGCGATCCAGTGGCCCCTTTATGTCTCTCATTGAACCACAGGCCAACAAGGTCATTAGGCAGTGTCTATCATTTTAGACTCAGGGGACATGGATGCCCTGACCTCAGAGAGAAGTGAAAAGCCCACACCTTTCCATCCCAAACAATCAGATTCATTCATGGAGGGTGGTGTGTGGGGTGGGGAAGGAGCTCTGGAGTGAGGCATTGAGCCCTTTGGCTCTATCCCGAGACCACCCTGGGGCACACCCAAGGTCTTCCTTCTCCCCCTGCATGGGCCAGTGGGTGGCCCACTGTGTCTGATACCGGAGGGATGTCTTGGCAGATGATTCTAATAATAACTGTCCTCCTCCAAGAACCGCTGGACCAGATGCTGGGTAGCCCCATCAGCCTTTCAGCTTTAACACTGTGGGAATCACAGAATTCTCGGTCCTATCATCTCCAGGTCAAAATGATTGAGGCAGCCTAGTGCAGTGGAAGGGATGCTGGTTTAAGTGCCAAATCCTACTCTCGCTTGTGGCTTCAGTGTCCCCATCTATACCCTGGGGATAACATCTTGAGCATCTAGCAGGGGTGCCTGCCTCCAAACCGAAGTGTTAGGGTTACTC